GAATAAAATACACAGTTCTTCTGCAGTTAAAGAAATAAACAAAGACTACTTATTGTCTTTTAAATTATTGATGTCTTCTCTGAGCAGCTAATAAAGTATTTATACAGTGATTGATTATTGTACAGCCGTTATTTCCTTGCATGGAATTAATAAAGTTTATCCCAACACAGTTAAACTTGAGTAACCTACAAGTCCTGGTACATTAATCTGTTCGGGTAATCCAAAATATCTACATTTTGTGCAGTATTTTATTAAGTATAATATCCTAAATAATACTTGTTCTTGTCTCAGAGGTTTAAAGAACCACAGCAGAGGATGTTACATCATTTTAACAATTCAGCACATATGAGGATTTAGTGAACATACATTTAAAACATAATTTTGATGTACATTAAGACCTGTATTAAAACAGTGTCCTCCTGAATGTAGGCATCATTTATTCCCATAAAAATGGGCCTCTGCTCTGACAACACAGCAACGCTTGCAGTTCAGTGACATTAACTGGCAGCCATTTTAAGTGTACAAGCCAATTGACCACTTTGTTCCCGTGTCGAAGTTAATCCTCGTGATATTAAAGCATTTTTAATCAACAACACAGCAAGAAAACCAGCAACACGTGGCCAAATTCAAACACGAACACAAGGATACAGTCCGACCTTTGACACACTGTGCTTCTCCACACACTTACGTTATGATTCCTCTGAAGCCCTAAATGGATACTGACTCCAAACTTGTGAGAAAAGAGTCATTACAAGTTGTTTTTGTTGCTAGAGCTGTTTCTGACACTGCAAGACAGGCTGCGCCATGACACTTCCGCACTGTCATCGTCGTCTGCCTTCACGTGGGTCAGACCTGCGCAGAAAGAGCCGCATGTTCATCGTGCACCGGTCGATAACTGCTATAATGAACCTGCCTGTGGATCATTTTGTTGTTTTCTGGATTATTTATGTCTCTATATTACGTGTTAATAATAAAACAACAATAACGACATGCGCAGAAAAACCCGTATGCGTAATGCATCTGGCACAGTTTGTCCTTATGGGAGCTTTTATGTCCTTTAGTCAGTGTGCACAGTGCAATGGATTCACAAAATGCAGCGAGGCTAGACTAATGCACACCACTCTCTATTAGATGAATGAAACCTCAAGCATGAGTTATATATACAGAGTTTATGTACTGGGCTGATATAATGTGAATAAAGAGCTCCATGTACAAGGCCAATACAGTGCCAATGGATATTAACATACAGTACAATAACAATATACATATTGCCATATTAACAGTGCCATATTACATGTAGATGAGTTACATCATCAGGATACAAAAATGGTAACTGTAATCCATTACAGTTGTCTTGTAGAATACATGTTTTTATTTGCATTTTTGGTGTTGAGGTGATTCAGAAGTAACAGAAAGTAGTCAAATTATGTTAATATTGTGATATTTGGATTAAGTTACTGGCTACAATTTGTATTGGATTACATTTTTTAAAGTAACCCTCCCAACCCTACATATATATGTGTAAAGAACACAATGCAATAGTCTTACAATCTGACTATGAATGAGCAGAGTAACCTATTTTTAAAACGGTATTCATAAAATCATTTACATAATCTGATCATAATTAATTTTCTTAAAAATATTTTTGGGTGGGGGCTAATCTATTTATTACTATTGGTGTTTTCAAGAAATATATATATAGCTATATAACAGTCATGTACTTGTGATGACAAAACAGGCAGACACATTCTCTTAGCTAAAACCATTAAAATCTGAAAAAAGCAAACAATTAAGCCAACACTGAAGCTATATCATCAGGACAACTAGATAATATAGTTTAACATTACAGCATCAACCTAATGTACCGATTTGTGGAACCACAATAGATTTATAAATTGTGTAGAATTGTTTATTTATCACTTAATTTATAACTGTGTGACTTCTGCACATGTACACTGAGGTGTGTCAGTGTATAAACCTTGATTATTTCAGTGCCCAAGGCCAGACATACACTACAACCTGGTGGTGGCTGGTCCTGCTGATAATGCAATGACCTTGCGGGTATCCCTCCTGACATGCAGAGTGTGGGTTGTGATGAATAAATCCACACACATTCTGGAAAAATGTCAGAACAGGCTATGGTGTATGCATCACTGAAATACAAGGGTCATTTTTTAGGACATCACAAATAGTTTTTTTTTTGTAAATGGGGCTAACTTCTTAACACACAGCCAGCCGTCCCCAAATAAACTGGCTTTTCCCACCACTGGAGCTGAGAGGGTTATTTGGACAGAGGCAGGCCGTCATGGCATGACTAACGATGGATGATTGCAGTTTAATTACACTCTGAGGGTATCACTTATCTTCGGCTGGCTGGAAATAAATGAAGCTTTTCAATATCGCACACAGCCTGTGAAATTATGGCAATATATCTTTGTCATTTTTCAAATACAAATATTATGTGTTTGTGAGAGAGACTGCAGTTCATCCCTTTGTTATCTGTCTTTATTCTGTGCCAATATCCATTGTTTTAGCTGCAGATTATAGCCATTAATCTGGTAAGGGTCTCCATAATCTCTAATGAAATCCTAAATGAAGTTGTCCCGTGAGGCTGAACAAGTACAGAAACATACCAGTGAAAATCTGCTTACTCTGGACTTACATGGTGGCATCCCTCGCCTCCGAAAAGGGCTGGGGCGGGGGGGTGGAGAGAGATGGCCTGTGGAGTTAGTCCATATGGCATAACAGTTGGCACATGTATATTTTTGAGATCTTGATGGTGCTCTATGCAATTTACTGGGGCATCACTCAGCATAATCTCTTTAGCCGGTGGAGCGTGTAAAAAAATTTGCTCATTTTTCCCCCCCCCCCCCCCACAGCCCGTGTGTGTCCATACTGTCTCTGTATCTGAGAAGTGACATGTATGCAAGCAGCGAAGTGTTCAGTCTATATTAGTGAGTGTGGATTTTGTCCCTCGGGGCAGACTAACTGGCAAGTGATGTGAGATTGGCTGTCGAGAGCATGATGCTGAGGAGGTTGAGAGTCTCACTGTGGTCACACTCCAGTTGGAATTTTTTTTTTTGGTTTTTAATTCATCCTGTGTTGCTGCATGTGAGTCAAGTAAACATCATCCTCAGCGCCCAGAGCGAAAATGAGACTGGGAGGGGGGGAGGTTAGAGCGTTTGTGTGACACAGAGATTGAGAGAGAAACAGAAGGAGAGAAAGAGAGCGTGTGAGAGAGAGAGAGGAGCCTGTGTGTTCGTTTCACCTCCTAATCAGTTTTCCTGGGGGATCTATCATCAACTGCAGCAGAGGAGGCAAGTGGAAAAGCGGAAAAGGAAGACAGTAGAATTCAGCCTGGCTATAATCTTCACCCATCACAAATCTGAGCCTCGTACAAGTAAGGAATTCTTTCAAATCAGCCGACTTATAGATGCTTGTTGTGCTGAGAAAATAAATCTACTGTATTGGACTCTCAGTGTATGAAGTTGCGGAGATCAGATTATCTTACCCTGTGACGGTGCGTTTGATTTGTGCACATAAAGTGAGATGAATACAGTAGTGGGGGTGTAAATGCATGCTGTTCTGCTGATGTATATGTATGATGTATGTGTATGATGACATTTATACCCAACTTTAGGCATTCATCAAATCCCACCATTCTCATTTTACATGAGAGTGTGAAGACAATTCACACAGCAGCAATTAGTACTCATTTTCCCAAAATTGTAATGCTTGGTTTAATTGTGCAAGGGCGTACAGCGCATCAAACTGTATTAGTCATACAATATCTCTGTATAACAGCTTGTTTATTGGACTTCACACAATATTTCTTAGTGTTTCATACTGTGTAATGGCAATTTCACCCCCTCTAGTTTAAAAATGTACTGAAGAAATTGTGCCTTTTCTTCCTCCCTTGTGCAGATGTCTTTAAATGTGTTTTAAAGTCTTCTCCCTGGAAGGAAAAAAATGACTTTGAACCACAGAGTTGTTTATTCTGTGCCTTGCTCCATATGCATGAATGCAGCAGCTTCTTTCATGGTGCTGTCTCACAGAGATAACAGCATCTCTGTAGTGTAACTGAGCAGTAACAGCCCAATGTGCAGATCTCTAGATAAATTAGGATTTATAATGTGAGTCCCTGTTATACTTATTAGTTAGACCGAGTTGCTTGATTAGGAACAACTAGCTATCAAAGCTAGTTTTTGCTGATTTATAAATAAGGGCGATGGGATTTGTGTGAATGGTATGGAAACCTGCTTTTGAACTGTGTTCACATGTATTCGACCCAAAAGTGGAACACACACAGAGACATGGCTCTTTGATGACTTGTCCTGTGAGAATCCCCCTCTTGCCCCAGTTTCCATCTCTGAAAAGACACCATGGTAAGAAATGAGAACAGCAGCTGGAAAACAGACGCGTAGAAACACACGTGCGTGATGAAACAGCTCTCTCCCTTGGCCCTCGCGTGAACGAGCTACCGCACAAATTTCACAGTTCACAGGCTTTAATGAGCTGCTGCAGCCTGTCCATCATACTGACTGGAGAACACCTTAACAGACTTCACAGTCAGACAATGACACCACAGCAGACGTCTGTAGGATCACACGGACAACAAAATGAGCATGTAATGATTGTTTGCACTAAATAGCCTAGGTATTTTAGGCACATCTGTGATTTAGCATATGCTCAGTGTGAGAGCGACTTTAATAAGAGAAAGATGCAATGTGTCCTGCTGGTGTTGAGATGCTGGGATTCCAGGAAGCAATACTGGAGGAGATGATTAGAATAACAAATTCAAGATGGATGAAAAGTAGAAGCAGCCTATGGAGGAATAGATGTGCACTAAGTCTCGGGGCAAAAGAAGATGACCATTGTGCGCCCACTGCAGAGACCTACCATCAGTTTATGAGAGGGAAGGTGACAGTTAATCAAACACAAACACAGGCTGACCAACAGATTGCCCTCAGCCCGGCACTCAGGGCCATGTGCAGCCGCCTGGATCGAACCACTAATGGGCAACAACGGAAATATGATCATACATCACCAGCAGCTGATACCTACTTAAACCTCCCCTACTTCTGCCCAAACAATAGAAAAGCTGCTGTAAGATTTCCCTCGAGCTGCAAACAGTTCTCTTGCTCAGCTGTTTTGAAAATGGCATGCACTTCAGCAAGGCGGCATAAGTGTTTAAAAAGTTGCTTTTCGTTTAAATTGTTGCTGACGGATGCAGCAATGTTTTTGTTTGTGACCCCCTTCCTTGAGAAGACCACGGGAGGCTGCAGACGTGCGGTTGCTGGGAGACTGCTGTAGGTGCATTATGAAATGCACGAGGGAAAGCAGAGGCCAGTCACTCAGCTGGGAGCGTATCGAGTTGTGTAATGATGGGAAATGTCAGTTAAGGGCAAGAAAAGAGGGGAGGAGGGGAGAGAAAAGAGCAGGACAGTGAATAAAAAAAACTGCAAGCAGATCCCCAAATGAAAGGTTAATTGGATTCTGTCTGAGGTGTAATTTAACTGTGGTGTTTCTGAACTGTTAGGGTCCACTTTATAGCTCTCTATGATGCAGTTTAATCTCTCTTAGCAGATGTTGCCATTCTCCAGCACTGGTATTACAGCAGATTACATTCCAGTCTAACTATCCTCTTTTATCTCGGTTTAATGGCAGATGACAGAAATGGACGCCCCTCTCTCCACCCCCTGCAATATCCAGATTTGTGAGGTGACCTGCGACTCCTTCCGCATCATGTGGGATATGACCCCCGAGGACACTGCCAGAGCCACACACTTCTTCATCGACCTGAGCCGCAAAGAGAGCAGGGACAACCGCTTTAAACACAGGGTCTGACATTCTGAAAATGCTGCACCACCTCATGCATCTTCCTCTATCCTCTCCCTGGGTGTATCCATCCATCCCATCAATGTGTCTCTTGCTGTGCCGTCTGTGTTCATATTCCAGACTCACACCAATCGATTTTCACCATAGGATTGCTGAAGTCCTCCTTGTACTGTACGCCCTTTGTAAATAATAGTGGGCTGCCAAAACACGCAGTTTCTTTGAGGTCTAGTGAGGTTAGTGGGTCTAACTGCCTTATGATATTCTGCATTAGTCTGAACACAGAAAGCAGCGGTTGCGCCCTTTCAGTCACTTCCAATACCGGCGAAAAAGGAGAAAATGAGTGCAGTCAACAGCTTCAGGCCACTGACTCAGTTGTACATTGTCTCCTCTTAAAGTGGACAAAAACTGACAAATTCATCCGCACCACACAACAGTTTTCATGATAACGAATTTCATACAGCACAGACACAAAGCAGCAATGTGACGGTTTATCTTTGTTTATTAAATATATAAATATATTTGTCAGGGACTATTAATTTCATACAGTGCGAAGAGATGCTCTGAACCGCATTTAGCTACCAGCTACTTTTCATGCAACTGCAACTCGAGCATGTACAACACATATTTTCATGTGATGTTTAGAAGTTTGAACCATGCATGGCTCAAGGGATGTTGTCTGTCTGTTGGTTGGTTAGCCGGCCCACCACTTTGGTCCGGACTAAAACAGCTCAACAACGGTTTGATGGATTGCCGTGAAATTTTGTGGCGACATTCATGATCCCCAGTAGCTGAAGCCTAATGACTTTAGTGATCCTCTGACAGCTATTGGATTGACTGCCATGAAGGTTATGCAATGACATGTTCTGCTCAGGATCAACTGTAATTTGATTTGAACTGTGGTGACTTTTCATCTAGCACCATTATCTGTTTTGGGATTCGGAACTCGATCCCAAGTGAAACAAGCTATCAGTGCACATACACTGAGAACTGACTATACAGAGGGAGACAGGAGTAGATGGCTTTTTACGGGGTTTAATGTGAATTTCTTTGTTGTTGATTTTTGCATGAAAAAACACATGACACACAAATTATTTGTATATATGATAGGGGATTAGCATTTAAATGATTAATTTGGTGTCTATATTTAGCTCCAGTACCTGACGCCTAACACTTATGTTCTTCCTTCATTTCAGATGGAAAACACTGACTGTAATTATAGCCTATTATTGCAGCTGGCACTTAACAGCTGAAAAAGTGCTTTTGTGAAGTCAAAGCAGGTGTAGGACTGAGTGAGTTGTTCCTGAATGGAAGATATGTTGCCTTTCTCTGATACACACAGTGGCACAAACAAACTTGCATCAGAGATGTTGCCATGGATATATGGGCCTCTGAGCCCGTGCTAATTAGCTGCGCTTCATAGAGGCCTTGGCCAAAACAAAGCCGCTGATTTGATTAGATGTATCCTAGTTACAGCAGCCTGGGCTTGAAGAGGAATATCATGCTAATAAGCCAAAGTTTATGGAGGGAAATGGTTGACTTAACAATTGCATTTACATTTGTTTTGAAATGTAAATGGAACACACAGCAGCCTATTCTAACCTTGCATCCTGTCCCTGATGTCAACTCTTTCCTGCTTCGTCCTCCAGGATGTGCCAACCAAGCTGGTGGCCAAGGCCGTGCCTCTTCCCATGGCAGTGAGGGGACACTGGTTCCTCAGCCCGCGGACAGAATACTGTGTCGCTGTCCAAACTGCTGTCCGACAGCCAGACGGCGAGTACCTGGTGTCAGAGTGGAGCCAGGTGGTGGAGTTCTGCACCGGCGGTATGACACACCATACCTGATAGATAATGTATCACATAGAGTATGACAGCTTTAACCAAAGCAATACAAGATACATACAAAGACCTGCAGTGCACAGAATTGGCAGAAAAAAACCCTAAAAAACTATTCTGCCTCAGCACCAAGTCATCATTAGCATTTCAAAGTAGTGCAGACTTTTGAAACTCCTATCAACTTTGCAGACTATGCCATGGAACACCTACAGCAGCTTCTTGACAAGGCCAAAGGCTCTGCAGGGAGGCTGCTGAAATTCTCTGTGTTTTATCGCAACCAGCACCCAGACTACTTCGACTATGTCAGGTCAGTGCTGCATTCTTATCTCTTCATTGTATACCCAAAGCAAATCCAGCAGCAATTAAAGGACTAGTGTGACATTTTGGCAAACGCCCATTTGCTTTCTTGCTAAGAGTTAGATAAGAGGATTGATGCCACTCTCCTGTCTGCATGATAAACAGGAAGCTACCGTAAGCTGTGGGTTAGGTTATCTTAGACTGAAGACAGGGGGGGCAACAGCTAGCCTCGCTCTGTCCGAAGGTAACAAAATCCACGTACTCAGCTTCATTAGCTCACTGATTAACATGTTCGATCTTGTTGGTTTAATTCATACAAAAACAAAGTGTAAAAACAGCAGGTTGTGGTTTTATGGAGGATTATGTGCCGACTCTATCTTGGCTGGGACCAGTAACTTCCAGGAATCTCCGCTGGTGGCCTGGCACAGTGACAAGAAGACTCCAGGAAGTTGCTCCACCCGGCCAAGACATAGTTTGGCCCATGACCTGCTGTTAAACCCCCCCTTTTTACCTGATGTTTTTTGTATTGATTAAAGGAGGTGTTATGGGTGCTGATGGACAGATTAAGTTACCTTTAGACAGAGCCAGGCTAGCTGTTTCCCTCTGTTTCCAGTCTTTGTGCTAAGCTAAGCTAACTGGCTGCTAGCTGTAGCGTCATATTTACCAGACGGATATGATAGTGGTATCAT